AAAGGGAAAGAGTTTTAATTGGAGTAGTAGCTGTGAAAACGCTTTTCAGGACGCTAAACGAGCTTTATTAAGTGAGCACGTACTAGCCCATTACGAAGAGGGGCGCCCCCTCGTGCTGTCGGTGGACAGCAGCGCGTATGGCATAGGGGCGGTGCTCGCGCACAGGTACCCGGACGGCTCCGAGCGGCCCGTCAGCTGCGTGTCGCGCACTTTAAACGACGCGGAAAAAAATTACAGTCAGTTCGACAAAGAGGCACTCGCTATATTTTATGGGGTAACAAGACACCATCAGTATTTGTTTGGTAGACGATTTGAATTGCGTACGGATCACCAACCGTTGAGTCACATTTTTGGCGATAAAGCAGGACTCCCCCAGACCGCGGCTAGTAGATTACAGCGCTGGGCGACGAGACTATCTGCCTATGAATTCTCAGTAAAGTTTGTTAAGTCGGAACAAAACGGTCCGGCTGACGCCTTGTCACGGTTACCGCTGTCGCTCGAGCGCCGACCCTCTAACCCTTGTAACTATGTTAATTTTGTCAAAGATACTCTACCGATTGATTTTAACGATGTTTGCAATCATACTAAGAAAGATAAAATTATAAGTAAGATTATAGGTTTTGTAAAGTTTGGTTGGCCGTCTTCACTATCGGGACTAAATGGGGACGAGAATTCTTATTTTATGCGTAAAAACGATTTAATTGTAGATCTCGGTTGTTTAATTTACAAATATAGAATTGTTATACCTAGTATTTTGCGTAAATGTATATTGGAGGAAATTCACATGGGTCACCTGGGTGTTAACAAAATGAAAAATATAGCCCGCAACTATGTGTACTGGCCAAACATAGACCGTGATATCGAACAGGTGTGCCGCAACTGTGAACCGTGTCGCTCAGTCCGTGACAGTCCACCGCGCGCCGAGCTGCATCCATGGGAGTTCCCTTCAAGGCCGTGGGAGCGCATCCACGCTGATTTCGCAGATTGTGCTGGTAAACGTTACCTTATCATTGTTGACGCTCACTCGAAGTGGATTGAGGTTCTCCCGATGTCTCGTACAGATGCGGAAACGACTATTTCGGCTTTCATGACAGTTTTTGGTAGGTTCGGCTTACCTGCACAGCTTGTAACAGACAATGGCCCACCATTCTCCTCTTTTCAATTTAATAACTATTGTAAAAATAATTGTATTCGGCACACTACAAGTGCTCCATATAGACCACAGGGAAATGGTGCGGCTGAGAACGCAGTGAAAATTGTAAAAAAGGCAATAAAAAGAGCGATCCAGTCGGGTGACAATATCACACAAGCGTTACAGGAATTTTTATTCTGTTATAGAAATTGTAACCATGCAACTACTAAATTGTCGCCGGCCGAATTGCTATTAGGTAGACGCTTGCGCAATCGTCTCGATGCTCTTCGTCCAAATTTAGCTGAGGTGGTTCGTTCAGCTCAAAACAGTCAGATGGTTAATACGGGAGGTAAAACTAAGGAGTTTGATATTGGAGATACAGTACTCGCGCGTGACTATTCGGCCAGAGGGCATAAGTGGACGGAGGGTACAATAATAAAAAAAACAGGACCTGTGTCGTATAAAGTTAATATGGGTAATGGGCTGATGTGGCGTAGACACCACGATCAAATTATCCCAATTAGTCACAAATCTAGATTATCATTAACAAGAGCGAATATTGTATCTTCTCAAGAAAAATCTGCATCAGCAGAAAATACTCCAAATGACGAGGAACAATTTGAGGATGCTTCCGGTGGAATGGAAGGAGTGGAAGACGGGCGGGGGGGAGAAGGGCAGAGAGAAGAATATGAAACTGAAGTCCCTGAACCGTGGTCGCCCTCGCCACTTCCGCCGGATGCATCCGCACGAGCGGTTCGTGCCTTTAATCGAGCTTTGTGTAAAAAGTAAATGAAATACAAATAAACCTAGTTTTTACGTCATGTTACGAGGGGAAGGTGTTGGGTAGTTAAGGATTAATAATTATTGTAGTAGGTAGCTATTATATGAATAAAGAAATCAGTCCACAGCAAACTGCCGCCTTTCATTGACGTTGCAGCTATCATAACAGAAACTTTTCCTGGTCCAGATGGGAAGGTGCGGGTAGTCAAGGTGAAAACGGAGAATGGAGACTTCGTCAGAGCGGTGCGCAGATTATATCCACTAGAAATAACGCATGACGAGATACATGTTAGTGATATGACAGAAAAGCCTGATCAGGAGGGAGAAGTCGTGGACGAAGTGGATCCAGAGAAAGACGTAGTGCAACAGAAGAATCCTGCGCATTGTACTACCCGCAGTGGACGTCAGGTTAGGCCACCCAAGATACTGTGGCAATGAACCTGTTTTGCTCTTCGAGTGGCAGGATGTCGAGTGCAGCCATAGGTACAAATACTATGTCTATGATCGCAGCACTGGACGATTACATTTCTATAAAGAGATTAGTTTGTTTTCGAATTTATTGTTGTCTATTTTTATATGTCGAAATAAATAAAGTCTTGTAAACTATAGTTTGCGATTTTCGTATTAAATTAAATAAGTCAAGTAGATTATCCTCGCCACACCTTATACAGATTTGATTGTTCTGCTAAAGGAAAGAATGCACCAAGAGTGGCGAGCCCATTGGAATTATATAATGCAGGTTAAAGGTAAAGGTCTATGGTACACACCTCTATGTTGATGTAAACAAATTTCCATGGTTCTGCAAATCAAATAGCTTTTTGAATAGAAAATTCTATACGCTTCGCTTTCGCTCAAGGTTTGGTCATTGTCGGCTTAATTTCCATCTCTTTCGGTTGCAAATGGTGATTAATGCTCAAAGTACTCATTGCAATTCCCAAGAACAAACCTTAGCTCACATTTTCTTTGACTGCCCATCCTTCGGCATTCAGCGCCTTGTGTTGTTGGAAGAGCTAATCGAAATTTATGGCAAACATGATTTGGTCCCGCGTTCCTTGACCGATCTTCTTGTAAATAATTGTACATACGTCTGTATAATTTCATTGAAAACACTGTTGAAGAAATGTAAATATTCTGTAATATTGTTATGTATTAGATTTTAAGGTTAAATGTTCAGCATACACAAAACGAAGTTTAATAGGTACCTACCGCATGTTCTCTTTCTTTTATTTGTTGGAAAAAAAGTTTATTTTCGTAATTTTTCTTGTAGGTATTGTTTTTCGTTTAGGTCGTTGGTTTGAAACAAGTTTGAAACGTATCAAATGTTGTTTTTTTAGATTTGTTTTTTCTTTTCATATGTTTTGTATTAGGATTAGGGTATTGCATGGTATTGGTCTTAGGGATGAAACGATACGAGTAAATACAAGTAACTACTTCGATACTTTTCTTTCGATACCAAGTACATTTGGCATCGATACTTTAGAACTGAGTAACAAGTAGTATCGTAAAGTAAGGAATTGTATCGGTACTCGGTTGGTCACTCACTGAGAAGTATCAAAAAAACTTAAGGTGTCTAGTTGGAATTTTTGTTTCGCGAACGCATCTTTTGTACTGCTCAGTTGGCAGCCTTGCGTATGATTTATGTTTTTTCCAATTTATTCAGTCAGTCATTCGTGCATCGCGTGGCGTGAGCTGTTATTTTGTTTTCGTTAAATTAAAACTGTGACTGAATTTGTACTTGTAATAGCATTCGTAAAAAAATATCGATACAAGTAAGTATCGATACTTTTCATTCTATTCCGAGAAGGCATCGATACTTTATGAACGATACAGTATCGAGTAAAAGTATCGATACTTAGATGGTATCGTTTCATCCCTAATTGGTCTATGATTTTTTTTTGTGTAAATGTGTACTATAGGCTTGTTGAAAATATATCGATATTTTTTGTTCGATATATCGATATTTTTTGCCGATATATTTTGATTCGATACATCGATACATTGATACAAAATAACCAATATCGAAATACGTATCAAAAACGATATTTTTTTAATTATTAGCGGCATATCACGATCTAACTAAATTCGTATCTGGAAAAATCGTAACTGGATCTTCAACATATCTATGATCTGTGCTGTATTTAGTATTGTCTATGTCATCATTCGAAAATAGGGTCTATTTTTAGGGAGATAATTTTCGTTCTATTATTATTCCGCGTGTCATATTTCGTGAGCTACTGTACGATATTTTTGGGAAAATTGGTCCGATATATCGAAATATCGATGTTTTTTTCGCGATATATCGAAGCCGATATTGATCTTTTTAAAAATATCGATGTATCGATATATCGATATTTTTTCAACTTTCGACATCCCTAGTGTACTATAAAAAACATATTCAATAAATATGAAATTAATATAGGATGAAATTAATTCATGATTGGACTATGTACTGTGAGAAAAAATTAATTGTTTGGTGTTTAAGATGTTCAATGTGCTCGGAAAAAAGCACATAATAATAGAGTAGAACATAAAACTAGAATATATACCGTAAATTATCAAACTGAAGAAGTTATATTGAATTTTAATAATAAAAAGAAGAAAAATAACTAATGACGAGGCAGTATGGTCCCAGACCTTAGCCTGTCCGAAAGGACAAACGGAAAAAAAACAAAAAGGTTTTTTGGCGGGATTTCATCGAGTGCGGTTGGCGTCTTATTATAATTATTCTTAAATTCGTTCATAGTGGATATTGTGAAAGAAAATTGGTGTGGTTTTGTGTAACAACCGTCTGCGTAACTGAAGAATTAGTGGAATCGTTAAAATATACGCTATTCCGGTCAAGTGGACGTGAGCATTTTATTGTAGTGTTGACACTACAACAGAAGAACTCACAGAAGCTTATCGAAAAAGCCAACTCGATACATTTCGTGCCAAACACTCCAAGAAACATTAGAATGCGTCACACCGACATTCTAATGTAAAAACAAAAAGAAGATTAATTTAATTAAAGACTAGGCTGTATGGGCATTGTTCCCTTTGCCTTCCCTAAAACGGGAGAACTTCAACAAAAAAAAAACAAAAATATACCCAACAACCAACCAAAGAGAAACATTCACTATGAAGAACTGTCTCATAGTTTTTATTTAGTTTTAGTAATTATTACGGGACGTGAAGCAGAAGTGAGAGTTTATAATTAATAGTAAAATAAATTACTAAAATGACCATTAACAGGATAATAGCGTATTCTAACCTGATGTTCCAATGCACGCGTACAAACCCAATGATAGTTAATAAATTTAACATTTTACATGTAAACAAGTGCAGGTTGGTACATGGAAACCTATATAAAAACTCTTACGTAGTTACAGGATTGTAAACATGTCTTGGCGCCAACTTCGGCGCTGCGCAAAATTTTTGAATCATTGAATTCTTACCTTGATCAAAAACTGAAGTAATAAAAAATTAAATATGATGCTGATTTCAGATTCCTTACAACAGATCACCCAAAACACAACAAGGCCCTCAAGACCGAAAAAGAAAAATTAAGAATGTTTGTTGTTCAAAGATACATAGATTATGTAAAAAATTATACAAAATTCTTAGAAGTCAGATTTCCTACAGCAATGAAAATGTATCGAGTATTCAGTGTTGGAATTAAAGATTTCCTTAGAGACTTGAAGACTTACATATCATTAAGGATAAGGGTAACTAGAGACGAAGGTTTCAAAAAGATGAGCCGCCAAGAAATAGAACTGTACCAAAAAATGCCTGCAGATATGTGGAGGATAGCTCCTGTATTAATACTTTCTGCTATTCCCTTTGGCAATTATGTTATATTTCCTTTAGCGTAAGATTTTTTTAAAGTTTCTTTGGTAATAAAAATGTACTAGATATGATAAAAATGTAAATGTCATCAAAACTGTCCTGTGCCTTATACTTCTTTAAATAACCAATATAGAAACCATTATAAAAAAAAAGTTATTGCTACTAGGCTGTGGTTATTGCTATGCTTGACTTGTCATAAGTATTTATTGATGTATCAAACAATCATAGCAAAAATTATTAATATTATACACACTTTCATTTATTTTGTGTAACTATTTTTCAGGTTTTTGAAGCCAAAATCTCTTTTGTGTTCTCACTTCTGGTCTATTCAACAAAGAATAGAGTTCTCCCTTCAAGATTTAACAGAGAAATTGAGGCATAATAAACCAGTATTTCGGGCGTTACAAGCAAAATTAGATCTGATACCTGACAGTACACTGAAAAACAAATGGAGGAGAGTGTTAGCATTACTAGGCTCAGGTGTCCATCCAACTCCAGAAGATATATTAATGTGTAAAGAACTTTTTATAAATGGAACATACCATTTAAACAGTTTATCCTATAACCATTTGGTAAGATTACATTTATTACAATTGTAATAGTAATTTATATATTATTTCACATATCATTTGTATAATTGTTGACTTTTACCTACCGAATTTTTAAGGGCACGATAAACTAATGGTCCTGACTGCATCTGCCGTTGTTAGCACCCTTTAATTCATGCTGGGGTTCCATGATGCGGTATGAAGTTATGGTCCTTTGTCTTTTTCTGTCCAATGAGGAGGCCTGTAGCTCAGCAGTGCAGTAATTCACGTGCAGTAAATAGCTATAAAGAGAGATAGTTTTACAAAGCATTGCAACAATAATCATAGCAGCCAGCAGTGCCATTCTGCAAGAACATCCTGACTTTTGACCTTGGAATCTGTCAGTGTTCTAATTTCATATCAATTAGAATACAAATTTTAAATTTATAATGACACTGGTGAATTCGGTGAAAAGAGAGTTTTTACTTATAGACTAGCCTTGCAGTCCTTTCTGAGCACATTAACAAAAAAAATTATCCATTCTGGAAGTGCATGGTGCTGTATTGCACTTCAATCTCCTCACATAATTTTTGGTACAGCTATGTGAAGTTGCAGAATCAACCAGATATAAACAATCATATGTGGCATCACATAGCTTTTCTTTATTTTCTGATACATATACTTATACGAATATGTTCTTACTTTGCAGGGTCATTTATTGAAAATGCATGGTCTGAAGAAAACAATATTTCGAGTCAATAAATTAAAATACAGAGCATTTCTGCTATTAGAAATGGACAAGGCGATACTTAGAGAAGGTGGTGTTGATAACTTAAACACTGAAACGTTGAGATATGCATGTTTCTTGAGAGGGTTGAATGGTAGCCATCTTACAAACAACAACATGAGGGAATGGTTGAAAAAATGGTTGTATATTTCAGAAAATTTAGACAAAAATTGCTATTCACTGTTATTGCATTGTCCTATACTTTTGGCTTACAATCATCCACAGAATTGGGTGTTGATATATTAAATATATCTTAACAAAATTTAACAAGTTCTTGTTGAAAAATATGAGTGTTGTGTAATATGTACATTAATATGAAATTGAAGTCATTAGTCATTTGTTATCAGTATTCTCGTAACTGCAGAGCATACCTGAATATTTTTTTAATTATAAACTTTTAATATGTTTGTTATTAATGATTTTGCTAAAAGCTGTCTGTTATTTATTGTTAAGCTTTATGTCGATTAGCAAAGCGATTTTTAGGGGTGACTGTGAATGTTTTCAACATATTATCCTGTTGTAATTTCTTTAGTTTATTTATCACCCATGTTAAAGGATATGACAAGTAATAATAAGTATGTATACACATGTTTTTAAAAGCTATGCCTCTATTTTAGTTACTTTGACGATCCAGAACTGCTTAAATATTGAAATTAAAAAACATACTTAAACTAAATTGAACATAGCAAAAGCTTATAAATATTTTTCAAAAGTGAGATTGAAGAGAACATTGTAACTCGCTAAGTACCTTTCAAGACAAAATGTGCAGTGGCGTATAAGAGTAGGTTTAGCCGCCCGGTGCGGAGCTAAAATATGAAAACCGGGATATTCCCTAAACATAGTAAAATTTGCCTTACTTCGCCCGGCTACGCTATCCCACCGAATGTGTGAAGCTTAGAATAATAATTTATATAAAACTAGCAGACCCGACATACATTGTTCTACATGATGAAAATAAGTTAAAGAAATCCTAAAACTCAACAGCGGATAGAGTTATAAGTTAAAATTGGTTTTAACTACCAACTAAATTTCCTAATGTTACTAACTCACTGGCATTGCCTTTTCTTAATTTCTTTCTAAGTCGACTGTCATTCTCATGCTATGGCGTTACCACGAGAAATAGGTATACATTTTTATATATTGACCACAGATATGTAAATTATTATTCTAAGGTGGCTTTGTAAGGTGATGACAACGTCCTCGCCCGCAACCGCGGCGCAAAATTGTATGGCCTTTATACTATGTACCTAAACCATAGTTGTAACTAAACTTAGTATTGAGACTAACTACACAAATTTTATGTTTTTCTAAAAATTTTAACGCATCTTTCAGATGGTTTAAATAATATGCAGATATAAGCAGACCTACGAACCGACATCAATAAATAAGTTGAGTAACTGAACATTTGTTTATTTTAAAGTAGGACCAATAATACAAAACCCATCATCTAATCCCACCATGTAAGGATATGGTGGGATTAGATGATAAATATCCGTGGCCAATCGACATTAAGCTGTGCTGCGCAATTCTGTGCTATGCTTTATTCAGCCCTTAAATGGCTTCCACACGATACAATTTTACGTCCAATTTGATTAGATTGACAATCGAATTGTGTTGTGTGGACGGAAATATGAAATTGAAGGTCATTGGATGGTCGGTATCGCCGATTTGGGATTGCCCAATCAAATTGGGTGGTGTGAACGCTAACTGGCCAATTTTTTAATGTAATCACTGTGCAAGTGGCGTTCAGAGCGGGTGTGTGCGTTGACTTGTCTTTTGAGAAGAAGATGGAGCAACATGACGACAATATTATGTCTATTCAATCTGAACGGGAAGTAATGGAGGAGATTTTAGATTTATGTAAAGACTTGCCATGCCTTTGGGATGTGTCTAACCCATTATATAAAAATAAACAAGCAAGGCATAATTCCTTAGAGATTTTGCGGAATAAGTGGAAAAATATTGATAAAAATATTACTGTTTTAATTTTTATTATTTTTAAAGCATGTAAACGCTTGATGTTTAAATCTAAAGAAAATATAACTAGAAAAAATTCCACGCGGACCAGGCAATCATTTGTTATTGAAAATAAAAAATCATTTATATTTTATATTCTACTCAATGATATGCGCGTATGCTGGGGTAAAAAAGAAATAATATTATATATATTTTTTTATAATTTTTATTTTTTAAGCATGTAACTGCTTGATGTATAAATCTAATGAAAATATAACTAGAAAAAAATCCACGCGGACCAGGCAGCAGACGGGACTCGAACCCGCACCCTTCGCAATCCGGGCGAATGCACTGACCAATTATGCTACCGCGGCCCTCACGGACCGCGTCGAAATTCTTCCAGCCATTCTTAAGTTGCAAGGCAGCGCCATCTCTTCGCATTATAGGTAACCCACAATGTCAAATGAATACTTTTACAAGTATTAAACATTTGAAAGAAGAAAATAAATAGCAATTATAGTTATAATTTTTATTATTTTTAAAGCATGTTACTGCTTGATGTTTAAATCTAAAGAAAATATAACTCAGTTACATTTTAAGGGTTTTTCGAAGGGCGCGGGTTCGAGTCCCGTCTGCTGCCTGGTCAGCGTGGAATTTTTTCTAGTAATATTTTCTTTAAAAATATTACTCTTTTAGTATAACTATATTTAAGTTTATTAATTGAGTCACTTAAATATATATAACTACAATTAAGTGCCTCAATTGCTTTCATTTTAATAACCATTGTTTTGTCCACAGTCTTCTTTTTCTTTTTTTCTCATCTACATTTGTAGTTAGAGCCAAGATTAATTTTTTGCTTCTTGGTAAGAGGCATCCTGATACAAACAAGTCCGTTCAGCAGAGGCAACAAATAAAACTGAAATTGGCGATCTTGTTGTGTATGTGTAGACGGACGACCAGATTGTACCCAATTCAATCGGCAATCAGATTGGCAATCAAATTGTGTCGTGTGGAAGGGGTATTAGATTAAAACAAAAAGGGAAGATATGGCACTCGCGGCTCAAAAGTAATCCGATTAAATTGAGGTACTTGACCATAATTCGCTTTAGTTACCATTGGACATTCAAACACGCTGCATGTGCACACAATATTGCGTATATTTTGCGTTATAAAGATAAAACAATGTATTCGATACTTTTATAATGAACACATATAGTTCAAAATCAAATAACAAATGTCTCGGCAACACTTTTCATTATTTAAATTACAATACACGAAAAATTGTGATCGGAAAATGTTTTTAAACATTTTTTCTCAAAAATCACAGTTTTTCGTGAATGTTATTTATGTAATCGCCTTTTGTTATCAAGCAAAGGACAACAATACACAGTGTTGCCAACACGGATTTTTAAAAGGTGCTAGATCATATCTAAAAAAAGGCTAAAAAAGAGCTAGATTTTTTTATAAAAAAGAGCAAAATTTTTTTTATGTGCTATTTATTAAAAATCAATATGAACAACGTTTGTAATGGCTTCGGGATCATTTTTATTTATTTTGGCTAAGGTCGAAACTATTTCAAATCTTTTCTTGCTGCAATACTGCACTTCTAACCGAGCAGTTTATTAATACTGTTAATAGTCTCATCTAATAGCAAACTGAATGGGCCATCGAATATATCTCTTTTTAATTCGGTTATAAAATGCGGACTTGGAACATTCTTTATGGTAGCACTACATTTTATTCTGTGTGATTTTAAGTTTTCGGCATCTGTATAAAATAAGCGCTTTCAAAAAGAGCCAATGATCCTTCAGCGGAATTTGTTTGTTATCAATTTTCGGTTTTGGAGAAAAACTTAATTTTGATTATTCCGCAGAAAATGGTTGCGCTACTCTAAGTTGTTTTTTTCTTAATATATGCTTAAATAAATCACCTTTTTTAGAATTAACCTCGCATTTGCAGTGGGTACCATCATAAAATAACTATAGACCGACCATAAACAGTGTAGGTATATTTTGACTATGGAAACAAGAATTTTGAGCAAAAAATAATACAAAAAGATTTAGAAATTGTAGAAAAGTAGAGCTAAATCTAGCTCTAAAAACTCCGTGTTGGCATCACTGACAATACAGCTCAGCCGTGCGGACTTGTACGCGGACTCGCCGTTTCGCTCGCGCTGTGTTGAAATTCTGTCTCGCTCGCTCGATTGGATGTTTATTTACAGACGTGTGCGTGTGTGCGAGTTGCTTATGTATTTGAGACGGAGCATATTTAATGTGTGATGCTAGTATGAGCATATCGGATCTTCCAATTTTGTTTTAATCTAAGATTAAATCAGATTATAATGAGGAAACATACAATACGTGGAGCGCTGAGCTCTTTGAGTTATATTTTGTTTCTACAGCGCGGCCGCTGAAGCAATGTTTTCGTTAGGTTAGCTTAGATTGGATGAAAGCCAAACAGTTCTGTTAACAAAAGAAGGGACATCAATGCCCTAACAAAAAGGTGTACGATAATGATCTGTATTCTAACATGACATCTGTGTTACATAAGGAACGGATTCCACCTGTAACAAACACAGTCTTTAGTTACACAACATTTATAGCAACTGTATGTTTTATTAATTGATGTTATTGTTTTTCTTAGCAAAGTAGATAAGTGTACAATATTTTATGTTCTCGAAAATATAATTGACAGATTTAAAAAACGGATACATTTTGATTGTATATTATCTATATACCTTAGAGCAATACGTTTATAAATAAATATAATATTGCAATAGTAAAAAAAATCTAAAGTTCAAAACCACATACAACAGGTTGCTTAGACTTATTTGTTGAGAATATTTAGCGGCCGCACTTTACTTTAAGCATGCATAGCAGTAGCACCATAGCACAGCATTGGTCCATGGCACAGACAAAGAATGTATTTATCTAACGGATTCCTTATGCACAGCTCAATGTTAATTGGTCGCCCTTAGTCCATCGGCGTTTAAAAACCTTGGCTGTGCGCCAAGGTTCATTTCATTTTCTTTATAAGCGTAGCTAAAACTCGTTTATTTTTATTAATATGATATCGAGTACATACAGGTCGGTCGGCTCATAAAAAATATGTAATTATGTTAAACACAAAAAAAAGTTGTGACAACAGTCAACACTGTTAAAATCCCCTACCAAAGTGTACGAGATTTCTATTTACCACGTATCATGTATAGACTGCTAAATCCCGAAGTTAGAGTTCTCATACGATGGCAATCCTCCGCGGCGCGGCCTCGCCTGCGACACAGATCGTGTGACAGCACCTGTACATTTTTTGTCTTTTTTTTTGTTTCCTCCCAGGTGGGGGGAACGGGTGAGAAATCCTCATGGATACTCTACAACCGGCTGCAGGGTTATGTCAGACTCTTACTGACCTGAAAAACACCTGTAGTTCATGCATATGGCCAGAAGGGCCTTACAAGCTTCATCTGATGCGATCATCCCCTGAGAGGGGGATGATGCAGGCATTTTTTGTCACAAAGGGCATGCTTTTATACTTCGCAAACTTGCGGAGTCACTACTACGTTACGTACGACTACCGTTACTCTCTGTGGTTAATTGACGTCTGAGAGAGCAATCTTAAACTTGAGACACGGTAGTATTACAAATGGGCATATTTTTCCTCTACTTTTGATGATTACATTCTCTAGAGTAACCTGACACTTGATATCAGCTTTTATATTTTCTATTGATTTTAGTTTTACTAGCTTTCACTCACTTAAGCGGGTCTCCGCTCCCCGACCGACATATTATTGCACAAACAAAAGACCTCTGTGAAGTTAGCCCCCCACTTTTTGAATTTTATTATTATCTAGGTTGTTCTGGGTTGTTCTATGTTTGTTCTACATTGTTCCAAAGTATTATTTGAAAAAACTAAAATTTGAAGCTGCCAGACAAGAAAAACCGTTTTTCTATGGTAGCCCCCCATGTTTGGAAATTCAATATTTTTTTAGTTGTTCCAAGTTGTTCTAGTTGTTCCGAGCATTGTTCCAAAGTATTATTTGAAAATATTCAAATTTGAAGCTGCCAGACAAAAAAAACGTTTTTATGGTAGCCCCCCATGTTTGGAAATTCAATATTTTTTTAGTTGTTCCAAGTTGTTCTAGTTGTTCCTAACATTGTTCCAAAGTATTATTTGAAAATATTCAAATTTGAAGCTGCCAGACAAAAAAAAACGTTTTTATGGTAGCCCCCCATGTTTGGAAATTCAATATTTTTTTAGTTGTTCCAAGTTGTTCTAGTTGTTCCGAACATTGTTCCAAAGTATTATTTGAAAATATTCAAATTTGAAGCTGCCAGACAAAAAAAGACGTTTTTATGGTAGCCCCCCATGTTTTGAAATTCAATACTTTTTTAGTTGTTCCAAGTTGTTCTAGTTGTTCCTAACATTGTTCCAAAGTATTATTTGAAAAAACTCAAATTTGAAGCTGTCAGGCAAA